ATTTCACCGAGTGCTTATCTACCCATGATTAGTTCTCTTCCTGTCTTGTCTGCTCCCAGTTCGGCATTCATGTAGCCCCATCCATTAGAATTTTGATGTCGCCATCTGGAGTGGTGTCTTGTCTATTAATTATTACAGTTGTCTGTAGAATTCCTCCTTATTCTCTTGATCTGCGTTATTTGTAGGTGCGTAGCGTAGCATTGTATGATTGTGACTTTCCTTCCTTTTGAGTTGAATCCATCTTGCTGTCATGATCCTACACGAGGAGATTGGTTCCCACTAAATGAGAGTAATCCTTCGATGCTGTTGGGGACATCATGATGGCCACTCTAAAATTCAGTGTGCTCGTGATTGCCATCTGGGTGACAATATCAGAGTAGATTATTGATTCTCCAGTTGACAGTTTGGAGAGTTCACTTCCATTCCATCGGATTTCGCAGATTCCTATACCTTGTGTGCCATACCTCCTCATCTCTTTTGCAATCTAGGCAGCCTTGCCAACCAGCTTCAAATATTGTGCGGACAATCCATGTCCCCATGTTTACTTTCGCTTCCATCGACCTTAAATGTTTACCCTTTCACCTTTTGTTTATATCGATCGTTTCTAACTAACTGAGCTTAACTCACAATAGTTTGTTTGTTTATCATATAACCTACCTAAGTGTTCTCATAAAACTGAGTAATGACTGAAGACGAAATGGAAATTGGGACCGGGGACAGATTCGAACCAACGACCACCAGGTTTCCTGCCCGATGCCCTACTAACTGATCTATGACGTCCGACTGCTGACCGGATTTTTATTTCACTTCAATCACCAGGCGTTTCGCCGGACTACCATGTGAATTCATGAAGCGTTACTATCACTCGATCGTTTTCACACTGGCTACCCAGCCAAATCCAAATCTAATTAAATTAGAGAGGCAGAGCATCATATCAATAATCCTCTGACTATCTGAGATACTTGTAGTTTCGCAGACTCGTATTGATACTGGGTGATGTTTGAAGGTGGAATGAGGATTTGAACCGCTGACAGACTTTAACCATCGAAGTCCCTCAATAGTTTTACTGCTACTGTTGTCATTATTTTCACTCGGGAAACCTCCATAGGGTTGTGAATTTGATTGTAAAAATTTGTTGCCAATTATAAACCTTCTTTGAATTTGCCGTTAGGATTGACGTTTACTATATGACTATTTCTGCCTGTCTTAACCGCTTACCGTTTTTATGTATTCTTTCAGTGAATTAAAGTATATTAAATTTTCAACAAAATTGTATATCTTGATATTCTAGATTGTAAACAATTAAAAAGATACCACTGATATCAAATGGATCCATTTTATCCAGCTCGCATTGTTATTCTTCCTCTTTTCAAAGTAAAATATTACTTTGACCTTCTAGTTCAGGAGACATCGTCATTTCTTCCCTCCTTCATCCTTTCTTTCAAACGGTAGCGAAATGTGTAAGACAGTGTAGGCCTGAAGGTTGAACATATGGGATTAAGAGACTTATTTGAACCAGCTCCTGCATTCTTGGAGTTCCTATCTTGTTCCTGGTTTATGAGAATCAGTCATTTGTGACTTGAAGTCAAAAACTATTGTGGGAATTTATTACACCATATCCTTTTTCATTGACGATTATATACTAAAAGTTAAAGCATAATACTGGTTTTTGAGTCTACTCCGGCCCAAAATGAATTTAATGTAACGTATCTTGACGTAGGACACAAATAGTCAGAAGTCACCAATGTTACTAATCTGGTTCCGTTGGGACAAGTATGTGGCGCATAGATATTCAAAGCACTACGCCCAATATATCGATCGGAAATCAGAATGTCGCTAAGGTTTACTTTCTCAAGCAATCTTAGAATAGGCTTAGAGTTAGTTTCGAAGAAGTGAAAGCTCAGCTGTCTCTCCATTCCTGATAAACCAGAAATAATCATTTATGGTTTGATACAAGTGCTCATAAACTGCTAAGATGTAAGAAACGTTTGTGAAACCAGTTCTTTGAAACGAAATTGTGATTACAGCATACTGAATAACCCTGGAAGACAGATAGATAGTCACCTACTTCTACAGCTATTCTAAAAGATTGTTTATACCCATTACAAAGAAAGACAGAGAGAAAAGATGGAATTTCGTCCCTGGTGCAAATTAGGGGACCAGATGGATAGACTCTGACTAACCTGAATAATGTTGACTAATTACCGAAATGCCTCATTATAGTCTATTTGTTTGATCAATAAATTAGTCTAAAAAAATGGCTGTACGCGAAAAACCATACTGATTATTCAAGTGCACTGCACAAAACATAGTCTTCTGGTTGCTGAGTAAATTTTCTGTACCCCAGATTGTTACTGACTTTGATAGATACTGTTGATGGAACTTTATTAGGCTTTTAAGCATTTTGTTTATACAGACTTTTTTGCTTGAAGACTGGAAGAAGAATTTTCAATCGGTTAGACTTTTGAGGTAGGAAATAGGTAATTTATACATACGCATTATTTTGAAATCTTAGTATAATGACCATAAGGCTTTCAAAAAAAACAACCTTGAATAAGGTGGCAAATCGTATTTAAGCATATTATCTCTTCGTATCATACTAATGATGCTTTGCCGTTAAGCATTCCTACTTAGCAAAACGTTTTATGATAAGAAAAAAATGAGTTGCAGTCCATGGCAGCTAACTGCTAGTTGACTTCCTCTTCATGAGACTCGGTAAGTCTGTCAATTAGTCGCATTACTCAAAGTTACTTCAAAAACTTATGAGCCTTGAGTTCAAAGATACCTCATAGAATTCGATTATGGACTTACGGACCTATTCAAGAAACAGTTCGAATTTCTTATTTTACTTTCTTTATTTCAATGAACGGTCGGAATTACTTAATTCTCAGGTGCTATAAAAAGCCAATAATGCAAACCAACTAAGTCACTGAACACTAAACAGTAGTCACACAGATGAGTTTCCAAACTTCTAATGAGAAGTGGTGACTAGTTGAGTCAGCTAAGTAGAAGGTCAGGCTTGATGCCGACTGATGGCTACACTAATGCGCAGGTTGAAAGAAGTATAAAAAATTAATCGGGTGTATATTAACCCACTAGCTGGATGACAGTGGACTAACTACAAGACCTTATGATTCTGGCCCTGTTGTCTGTCAGCATCATTAATCCTAGTTACTGCAGATCTTCAAACCAGAATAACTTTCCAATACTCTTAGACTTTAATTAGTTCTCCAAATAATTTTAATTCACTAGTAAAGTTGCTCTATGATATTTAAAAAGTTTAAAAGTTTAGTGGGAGCTATCCAAACAGGTATACGCTACAGGCAAGTCAAAGTTAACAACTGTATCAAGAAATAAAATCAGATAAGTGTAGTATTGAACATCCATCAGTATTTCATAAATTGAAAATTTTTAACGTCACCTAAAAACCAGAAGACTAAGGCCTGATCCTAATCCACGAACTGAAATAGAGTTACACTGAAGCGTTTGATGTGCTATGTTCCTTGTGGAGAGCCTTTGAAAGATTTGATGAAGGTAAATCCCACCACGGAGTTTGTCTCAGAAAAAACAGGTAATAAAGCATGTCAGCAAGATAAACACTAAGATGGCCAGTCTGTGAAACTTGCTTTAATGAGGAGCGTTTAAATAAGCTAATTTTCTTCCTTCTGTTTTATAGGAGAAATATAAAATGATGTAACAATTCCACTTAAAATTCGTAGTAATGACTTTCGGATAAATATACTCCTTTTTTTTGTCTTCCATCTGACTGTTTATCTCTTGAAGGCTACCATAAGAAATTCCTAGAACTATGGTTAAGTCGAATAAGTGTGGATTTGCATTTCTAGAACAAATTGGAAAGTAACTTTTATCTAGGGGATTTAGTGTTTCAGGAAAGTATAATATATCATTTTCGGGTATTCTTTTGGAGAGGGAGATGCGTATTTCATACAAATGAAGCTAAAAGTGTCCCATTATAGAAAAATATGTTGAAAGTGACATTAGTGAAAAGAGTGTATTTATTTTCCCTTTTATTTGAAACAGAAACTAGTTACAGTACAGTATTTTAGATAGTTAGGGAAGTGAATAGATGGGAGGAATGATAACATGTCGATTCTCCCGGAGTACATTAAATAAATGATGATAATAAATGTAATCGGATTAGTCGCCATTTTGTTGTATGAACCGAAACAGATAAATTAAACTTATCTAAACACAGATAGTTTGGGGATATCACGTGCCAGGCAGTTGAGTGGAACCCAAGTGGGGAACGACGAGTTGGGCAACCGAGGGTTACATGGGGAAGATCTTGTGAGGGAAAAATGAAAACTTGTGAGTAGCCGTGAAGCCAGGTCTAAAAGACTGCAGAGAACAGAGTGGAATGGAGACGTGCTGCTGAAGCCCTGTGTACCACTAGGAACCCAAGGGACAAATAATAATGACAGAAAACACATAAATCAGGTGCCTTAAATCAATTGACGACTGCACCTAATGTGGTACACTTCGAATGAACTTGGTGGTCTCCATCAAATTGGTAGTATGTGCATACATATCATAATACCGTAATTGCCACCTATGATTTGTGCACTAGCTGGTTCATTTTGGGACTCTTCTAAGATTCCACCAATATATATATATAACTAAACAGATAAATTAAAATTCAGATATGGTATCAGTACGAAACGAAAAGAAAGAGCCGAAAAGAACTTGACATCCTTGTGCATGTTCGCTTAGTAAGCAATGATTTATATCCACTTATTAGGATTAACAATACTACTTAGTTACCAAAACTTCAATAGTGGAACAGTTTTTCGAAACGGTGACCAAATGGTCGACAGTCGATTGCCTAACTAATTGACTACAGCTCCACTCATGATATCAGTAGTATAAAACATTTAACAAAAAAAATAATAGTAAAGTGTTTCTCCTTCCAAATCAGGTCTAATTTATTACCATTAATTTTTGTTCAGTTAATGTTACATGTTTACAATATGAATACTTACTGTTCGACAAGTTGGACCCAATCGAAGAACTTGATTTTTATTACTTGCCATACCCAAATGTGAATAACAACCTCTGAAAAATAAACATAGATTTGAGGAACATAAATCATCTTCTAAAGGAAAACTTCATTCAGATATATATAAAGTATTAATGTATTCAACATTCAAGCATCTCCGTAATATTTATAAATCATTATAAGGTAGATTTAAACGATAATTTTCAGTCTAAACAAACACTGTTTCAATGATTATCTCACTTTAGACAATGGCTTGATCAATATACAATTCTTAATGTATTACAATTGAGCTAGCGAACACTTACACATTACTTTCGTATAATCAGTTCATTTCTAGTTATTTAAATCATTGCAACCAAGTACACCACAACAGTGAACGTTATTAGTCGGTTGGAAGCAATCGACAAAAGCCCTGATTGACTTAGTTTTCGTATTTATCGATACACATATTCGAGTTTTGTCGACCATTTTGCGATATGGTGACCAACCTAGGTATCTCTCCATGACTTCCTGAAGATCACCTCCAACCGAGTGATATCGATCTAAGTGCACGGCAACAGTTAGCTAACTAATTTGATGGCCGAATTGCAAAATGATTGATAGATTCAGTCAGCACTCAGAACTAGACGACATAAAACTAGTTGCTGTCTAGTTACCAATCATTGCATATTTATGCTTACTTAGTGTAAATGTCAGTTCAGTTACAAACGTCTGTTACTGGAGAATCATTTCAAACAGGAAACCACTGGATAACCATGTCACATTCTACTTATACTATTATTGAACAATATGCACTTTCAACCATCTGACCTAGAGTTGACCATGTTTTTAAACTGATAGTGGCTTGGAATTTAACAAGAAATGCTTTTTGACGTTGCTTGATTTTCAGTGGGCCTTCCAGTCGACTTCGTCTTTTGGTAGGTACAATCTATAGTCACTAAATAATTTAACTTCGACTTGACATTTCGAAAATGCTCAAGTGAACACTAATAAATACCTGAACGATAATTACACGATGAGACACTTGGAGTGGATACGAATGGAAACTATTCTCCCTCCGAACCTTATACTTTACTTAGCCGCAAAAATCAGAAGACAAAGACAGGACTGTGACTGTAAGGATGACTTTTATTTGACAGAAAATATCATTTCTATCCAAAGTTCATCACATATAAAACCTGTATGTAAAAAGTTGGATATTTATTTTGACGATCAGCTGTTGAACAAAATTGTCCAATAAAGTTTTTCCTGACTACACTGTTACATGAAACAAAGGTTGAAATTCAAAACTCCTACCTTACTGGCTAATGACTTAAGTGTTGATTTTCATTAAGGCTACTGCCTAACAGCCACCTGAGTTTTATTCTTCGTAAAAGCGTGCAAAATATAGAGAAGAATAACTATAGATGATGCTTAGTACTGACAGCTAGCTTGATCTGTCAGCATAGTGGCCCTACCTAGACTCGAGCTGTGATTCGGATCAGATATTTACCTACCTACTAAACACAAAACGCGACTACTACATACCATCTTGGTATTCGATTTCTTTAAAAATCATTTAGGAGCAGGCTGAATGTATCTCTTAAATATGCTATGGTGACCAGGCATTCTAACCCTGATAACGGTCAACTCAGTTTGCGTAAATATGTAGATTGATGACAAAGGAAATGATTAGTTCGTTAGGCCAGTTACTTATATAAATTTAGTCAAAGAATTCACAGAAAATTTGCCAGATTTCTTTGAAGGCACGAGTTAGCGTGTATGTTGTCTGTTTCTGAGGAATGAATCAATAATTGTACTGCAAATATGACTAAATGTGGAGTCAAATCAATATTTTTCAGTTATTCAGTTTTCTAGATGCTTGGGATTAATCGGCAAGAAGCTACGAACTTTAGTTTCGTGCTTCTGACACTCGTCAGCAAGAGATCTCTGAACGTCAAAGGGATTTATGCAGTCTGAGAGAAGTGAACCGGACAAAATTCGGTCAGCACTCAAAATTTAACAGCATGAAATTGGTTATTCTTTGGTAACCGGTCAGATTTATCGAGTGTATTTAGCCATGGTAAACACTCACACTTGTTGATAGCAATGTCTCACTTAGTCTTACTCAACTAACTGGTCTTCATTTATACAGACGATAAGCGAAAACTTAGGTTGCAGTGGAATTTGAAAAAGTAACCTTGCGACTACTGGCTGTTTCCACTTGACTTCATTGAAGCAACTTCCTAGTATTTTCATACACCACAAGGAATTTATTCTAGTAGGCAAACAACTATCTATCGAGGAAAAGAAGGACTGCTTTTATGTCTAACCCATGAAATAACCATTCATCTCTGTCACGAATACAGATGGTAATCTCGTGTGTACTTTCTAATTTTAAAATGCTGAGTATCCGACTTCGGTGTTACTCAATCTACTCGTTGATAAATGTTGTAAGTGTACAGAATTTGGTTATATTGTTTATCGTGATAATTAAACGGAATCGGTGGCTGAATTGATAGGGGACAGATATCATTATTACTAAATAGCAACCAATTAGTAAAATAAGAACAATTCAGAAAGTGTAACACGTCACATGAAAGTTATCTAAATTAAAAAGATATCACATAAGCTTATTAAAATGTTAAAGATAAGCCTATCGTAAAAATAGACGTCTTAAAGTCATTAAACAAGACTTTTCAAAACTGCAATTTAAAATTTTCCCTCATTATCATCTTTACCAGAAATATGAAAAAAACAACTAGATTATTCAGAGACCACTATGCTTGATCACTAGATTTTGCAACTAGATCAAAGTGGTCTGTGCACTGGACGATGGCTTCTCTCTTTTGAGCCAAGCTTATCAGCGGTGTATCCAGACAAATTCGCTTCATTCAACCGAATTAGTTCAGACCGCCTATATCTGGTTGAATGATTGTTTGGACTGTCATACCTTAAATATAATGGTCAATTTGGTATTGTTTCACGCCTCACATGGCTCACCTCGACCTATTTCACAGCTGAGTAGTTTTCAAACTACCAAACTGTACTGTTAACAGGGTTTCTGTTGGAAAACAAATGCCAAAGATTGCGCATTACTTTCTACGGATCAAACTAAGTGATTTCTAACTACTCAAGTTTTCAGTAGCATATTTTGTCAGTTCATGACACTTTGTGATCATGACTGGGTACTTTCCAACAGAGATCCTATTGTTCTCACAGTAGGACAGCTGGAAAACTATTCATTTGTGAGAAATCTAATTTGTAATTCATTTACAAATTGATCTTACTTAAGTTTCGAAATACATTATTGGTTACTCTTAGAGAAGGTGATTGTTCATAGCTTCACGATTCAATCGCATCATGCTGTATAGCTTTAGTTAATTCATCTACAACGTATTTTAGTCCCATCATCATTATTTTAATTCTAGTTTACAAATCATCGTGTAACCCTAAAGTCACAGTCGATTGTTTTCAGCAGAGGAAGTTGTGTGCACAAATTACGCAACCCATTAATCCCTGTTTTGATAACAATCTTAATGCAAGCGAAATGGCAGCATTTTGAAGAAATATTCAAAAAAGCCATATGACTTCTAGTAATCCCTTGACTTATCTGCATGATTCGCTTGAAAGGGTTAATAGTGACTCACTATCAGTCGAAGAGTCATTAAAAGCCATCATGTAGTAATCTAGTACCTGAAATGCATGCAAAAACCTACTAACAGCTAGTTACTACAGCATGTCAAGCATATCGCCTGGAGTCCTAAAGCCATTTCTTTCATGTCTGATGGTAACATAACTTTAAATGTTATTCGACCATTTTCCATATGTCTTTACAGAAACTAGAAAGTATAACTTGGTTGTTTAGTTCATTGTATAATTAGCTGTTTACATCATCAAATTCTTCTGCATTTTAATCGGTATAAAACTCTGTTAGCGACTGAGGTGGCTTGAAGGTAATGATTACGAGTCTGTTAAGTACAACATTTAATGGTTGAAGTGAATTGGTGTCTTAACAGAGAAACCTCACGATTTTCTTAGTAAAGCCCAATAACTCTTAAAATACTGTCTTGAATCCACTCATGAACCATATTTCTTTGCTTAACAACAATTCTACATCACACAGATAACTCCCTTATTAATTCATTGAAACCAGTAAGTAGGTATTCTCGGTCATCTATTGTTTTTCAAGCAAACTGTAATTCATCAAGACATTCAGTGTTCTTCAATCAACAGACGCAGTTATGACTAAGGTTTATCAACTTCTAAAATTTGCTTTAGATATCACTTCATTAAACAATATCACTAATATATATAAATATATATATATATATATATATATATATATATATATAGAGAGAGAGAGAGAGAGAGAGAGAGAGACTTGCCTGATTTATAACCAGAACATATGTATTCATCACATAACGAGTAATTAATCTTGGCGAAACAATCCGTAGATCTTCGAAAGTAAGCTTTGACATAATCTTAGCCTATTTAGAAATTAAAACGAGATTTTTCCAAACACTTTGAAGTGTATATCACAGCAACTTCGCAAAATATTCCACAAGTCTGTTCTGAACACAACTCACTGAAATCTTACTGTCGTTTGCTTAGGTGTTTTACGCATAGTGAAATAATTAAAGGAATACTTTTAATCGAATTATCTATTTTTATTGATGGCAATGACACTCAGGGAAGTAATTATTACAGACTAACATCATTTGGAGAATCACTGAAAATCTGGTGCACTGTACGCCTGCTTCTTCAAAGTATTGGACTCTTCAGTAGAGTGATGTTGCCAGGGGTGGAACTCGGGTTTTGTGGTCATGAATCCATACCTCTGAGAAGTCCCATTTTATGACAAAACAGCTTTTCACTGCTACCTGATTTCCAAAGCTTCTTCTATGATGAATGCTAATTTGAAGAAAAATCCCTAAGACCTTGAACTACAGTACTAATAATAACAATTATTGTGAAAACCTTGTTTTCTCTTTCATCATTTAAAGACTGAATTCACTGACCTTTGGCCACGACCTTTAATTCGAATTATATGTTTATCAACTGCATTTCGTGAATTTTCTCTTGAAGTCATATCCTGAAATCGTATGCATGTTTCTTCTTCAATAATTGATATGGCCTTCTTGATTATTAAGACGTCAATTTCTGAAAGCAAGAAATCATTCCTATTATTAGTAGATAATTATAAGGCTAGTAAAAACGTTTGCTACTAAGAGAAATACATATAATTTATTCACTAGCTACTTTGCTAAGACAGGTTTGATATTGGATGTTATCACTGCTGACTGATATCAGATACCGAAAGACTAAACACTAGAGGGCAAAACACCAAAGAGATAAGCATCATTTCACCGCGTTCAAAAATTCAGAACCTTCATGTGTATAGAACTGAGTTAATTACTCAACCATCTGACGCAGTCCATTTTTCAACTTTATTAACCTATGTTATACTGTGAAGACCACTTAATATCACCAGCGGACGCTAATTCTCAACTAACACTTAATTGTTTCTGTAGGTTGCGATATTTCTATCGAACTTGGAAAAAAATTCCTAGAATACTGCTTTTGAGTAGTGAATCATTATTCAATTTAGTTACGACTGGGACTATACTACTAATGCTAAGGAGTTGATTCACTCCATATAGGTGTCTCAATACTTTTAAAATTTACTTTCCTTATCTCTCACTGAAGTTTCTACCGTAATCTAGCTTACTTTCTAGCGTATCAGTATCGTCCAGGTTAATGATCGCAGTCATATCTTCCTTGGACAGTCCTCCAGGTTGAACTGCTTTGAATATTTCGTTAGTTACCTAGATTTTGAAATGTGTTTAGTAAATTTCTAGTATCCAGGACACTTTGGTATAATCGCCCAGTGTTATTGATGGGCTTGTTCAACGCAGTGCTGAAGCACTCACAGACATCAGAGCCTATGATGCGTTGTTAGTTGAGTTGTGACATTGAGTGGTGTCATTGAGGGTGTCTGATCTCTCCGACGCAATTCAGTTACATCAAAGACGCGCTTAGGTAGGTTTCTCTCATGTCTTCTGATCTTACCAAATGAAACTCTTCAGAGTAAGTGGAGAGCACAGATCAAATAATTCTGTTACGTGAAGGTGCTGATAAGATGCAAAACCTGCTTGACACATTGACTGGCAATTTGACGTGTACCTCTTTCCCTAAATCTCAACTGTCGCTCCAGGAATAGTCTTCTCTGCTACCTTGTTTAACATTAAACATGAGTGTTTTAGTGCGCTGATCAATTAATTGGAAAGTTGGATCACCTCTATTCAGTCAGTGACAGATGCTTTCGCCTGTATGCATCATTTATGGTACCATGTGATTTCTGATTGCCTGTTATGTACTACACTATATGACTGGTCAATAAAAGTAGCTGACATGAATAGTGTTGTTTTTGTAGTATGGGCCTTATCGTTGTACCGCCATGTAGATAACGTAGAAGTCAGGTATAGAATTTTAGGTAAAATGAGTAGGTCATTTAATGAACTTGTAAACCTTCACCGACTCAGGTAGCTGGAATATGTGATACGCATGCCTAGTCACTGTCTACCTCATCGCACAATGTTTGCTAAAATAGGTTTAAGCTAAAAAACGTTTAGTGGTGACCATCAGTGCATGAAATCTTTGACTATTGGTCTTAGTCGTGTACAGAAATGTAGGAATCCCGTCGAAATATGCGTGACATCATAAATTAATAAGTAGAGACAGGTATGTCAATCGTCATGTCGAATTTCACTATTGTTGCATTCACTCCTGTTCTCCTTTTACTACTTGTGACCACTTTCTTCAGTTAAATGTCTTCGCTAACTAACCAAAGTGGTAGTATTAAGGCTGAATCAACGACACATATTAAACTGGAGGTGAAAACAGCAAAAATCAGCTATTTTCTTGATGACTTTCTTTCTCCAATGGAATACATGACATAATCTATCTATACAATCTTTTTTATGATACTGAGAAGTTCATGAATTTAAAATAGCTTATACTTATTTGATCTGTAGCCGACAGTCTTCATTCCACAAGTTTTTTATTTAAAAGACTGAGGTATCAGACTTGACTATTAATAAAATTTAAGGTTGCCTTAACCTATCAAGTACTTTATTGATACTTTATTCATATAAGCAAGGCATGTAAATGTTTATCTATTTGTATGTTACTGAGATATAATTCGCTTTCAAAAATTGCTAAGATTTATAGAAGGTGACTAAAGCATCTAGTAGTTATCTTACAGAACCATTCGTCCCAAACGAAGTTGAAAACGTAGGTCACAAACAAACTCAAACCTATGGCCTCAAAATGACAGCTTCTGAAGTATACCAGTCAATGCACGAGACTAATCCATCGACTATGTGTAAATTTAACTTTGAAGCAAGAGAGTTCTGCTTGATCTTCATCTTAGAAAGTGATGTGTAACTGCTGATTCATCATCATACAACTTGCTAACTCACGTGTTATCAACCTAGTTGAAATCGGATTGAACTAGAGAGATAGCGAAATAATATCATTCTTGATATAAGTGAAAAACTTGGGCACTATGGTAGAATGTAATTCCATATTAGATTTGTTTATTTGATATAAAGCGCACAGTAATACAGTATTGTTTACTTGATTACGTTTCGAGCATAAATTATTCCTCATAATCATACCACATTGATATGATTATGAGGAATAATTTATGCTCGAAACGTAATTAAGTAAACAATACTGTATCACTGTGCGCTTTATATCAAATAAACAAATCTGATATGGAATATCATTCTTGGTTGAACATACCGAGATATAGCTGATTGGTAGACTTATTCCAGGATATGAATCACTCCCTGAGAACCGATAACTACTGAAGCTTTTAATATATTACTGTTATTAATGGATATTTATTTGTTAAGTAGTTAAGTGGTTCGCAATTAGCTGTTGCACTACATTATGTAGAGTGCAGAACGAATTATGCAGATGTGTTAAGTTTAAAGTCTACTGCGAGATTTTCTGGCAAATGCAACCCTTATTCCTACACACCTGTTAATCTACACTTGTTTTGGTTTAACAAAGCGATTATTCCTTGATTACGTGCCTTTTATCCAATCGAAGTGCATCACTTTTACTTGCCATACCAGTTGCAGTCGGTTTTTCACCCATTAGTAAGTGAACTATTGGATTCATTGCGATCACTTAAACCATTTAGTAAAGCATAGTAAGTGTTATAGCCATGTGCAGTCATTTAGACCAGGGATATAAGAATCCAAAATCCCATGCGTCTTCCGTCTTGCTATTTAGCTGTGTTTATTATGGTTATCAAACAGTCTGGAGGGAATGTTTATACATCATGCTTCAGCTAATCTGACCAGCTATTGAAATGCTTATACAGTAGTAAATCAGACTTTATTAAGTTAACAGCTTATAAATCAAGACAGCTTCGCAAAACGCAAAGAACCAAGTATGTTGGAAGCTTAGCTGAAATCCTCTTATGGAAGTTGTCCTAAATTGCAAACATAACCTCCTACTTAGATGTCATTCATGAGGCCATTGCCTATAAATTTACCATGTAAACCAAATTTGTATGCTGTTATACAACATGCAGACAAGGCCCAATCAAAAATCTCACATTTAATTGTACAACAATTTGTTCCAAGGGATTTCATATAAATAAAACATTTCCTACTTTTATATAGTGTGTCACCACATTAGAATTTTCATCTATGAAGCTGATAATTACGTCATCTTGATAGGAAGATTCGATGTGGGGTACTAATGGTTAGATGTTAGCTTCAAAGTTCATGAAAGTAATTCTAAAATATTGATCAATTTCTCAGATGTGGTCCAATTAGTAGAGCAATGTTGACTTTTGGTAGATAAATCATTGCATAGCATTTGGTTAATTATTCATAGTAGATCGTATACCGATGAATATATGTCACTATATTATGCATACAGGTTTCGTGAACAAAAGATAATAACTAGCCATAGGTTAGAAGTATATAAAGGAGATCTTCAATTAAAAGGCTCATACAAAGCTTCATGATAGATGGGTGGGGAAATAACCAAATGAGTAAGATGTATTTTCAACAACACTTTCTTAGATCCCACGTTCGAACACTTCAGTAAAGCAGATCAGTTATTTTGGTTTGAACTAAAGATGTTTCTATGTATCTAAGCGATATGTGCGAGTACGCCAAACAGCTAAGTTGGAAATTGCGAATTAATGCACAACTACATATTTTCATCACGTCATCAGCCATCTAGAGTTCATCACTGATTGTATATCAGCTCAACTTTTAAGGGAGTTGGCAGTTTACGTCACATAAGATGTAGTAATCTTGACCTTCAATCTCTAACCTCACCACAAACCCTCAATCGAATAAGGTAACACATCAGTCCTCAAACATACACACATACTTGACTGAATTCTTTGTGTCAATGGAAACAAATTATGGTGAATCAATTATTTCATAGTATATGTGACGCGTCAAGTCTCTGAGCCATACAGAAGCACCTGGTGTTGAAAATCCGGATCTTGTTCACGCTTTTTGCTTAGTGCAGAAGATCTCCACACTGGTTTCAGGCTATGAACGCCTGTCTTGCTTTTCCGATTCTGACTTTGACATCCTCGTCTGTCCCGTCAGTAGTTGAAACAGTGCGGGACAGACGAGGATGTCAAAGTCAGGATCGGAAAAGCAAGACAGGCTTTCATTAGCCTGAAGCCAGTGTAAAGATCTACAGCAATGCACTCAGCATGTGGAACAAGATCCGGATATTCAAAACCAACGTCAAGTCAGAGCTTCTGTGTGATGGATGAGAGACTTGGCGCATTACGAAAGGGATTTCCAATAAACTACAGACATTCATCAACAACTGCCTACGCTGGCTCGCTACTGAAGATCAGATGGCCAGAATAATGAGAATAAGCCACAAGGAGCTCTGGGAACGAACCAGCCAAGAAGCTATCACCCAACAAATATGCAGGAGGAAGTGGAGATGGATTGGGCATACACTGAGAAGGCCGACTGGGGACATCACGCGTCAGGCCCTCGAGTGGAATCCCGATGGGAAGTGACGAGTTGGACGTCCTAGAGTGACATGGAAGAGATCGTGCGAGGAAGAAATGAGAGGTTGTGGGCTGTTGTGGAACCAGGTTCAAAAGATCTCAGAGAACAGAGTTCACTGGAGATGTGCTACTGAAGCCCTATGTTCCACCCAAGGGACTAATAATAATAATAATATGATAAATTAAGTTGAACGTTATGAACTGACTACTTGACTAATATTTGTACACTGAATTCACTGAAAAAAAAATGCTAAATCGCAGTGTTCGTATGCAGAAAGGATAGTACAATCTTCACACAAATTAGGCAGTGATAATCTGACTTACTGGAGAACATTTCAGTATATTCCTTTGTTTTGGATTTGTCAATATCTTCAATTACATACGGAACTATACCATTTGGCCATAATTTTAATTTTTTCATTCCCAATGAACGTTGATAACGAGTTAGATGAGCAGAGTTCTCAGGCATAAGCCATTGACAAAATGTAACTATTAAAATTATGTAAACATTTTTAAATGACATTTTTTGTTATAAAACGTTTGCCAATTATTTCAGAAGTGTTTCTAAACCATAAGTTATTTCAACCACCGTACGTATATATATATATATATATATATATATATATATATATATGCACAGATAAGATTTGTTGAATTGAACTTCGTACATTGAATCTTCTGTGCCGTAATATGCAACCGTGAATTTGTTAGGGATAGAAATTTCACTGATTCAATTGGGGCACTAGATTTAAGGATATCGTTTTACTTGATTGGCAGACAGACATATTTAGCCGGTATGCAAAAAAAATTCTGCGAAAATCAAGTTGAGACATCAGTTATTTTTTAACCATAGACACAAATAATAAAAATGAACCAAATGCTAAACAGAATAACAGATGTTTTATTATCTTTCTGAATATTAAGTTTTGGTGAGAAATACTTTTTTTCAATCTTATGTTATATAATTACAAATGATACTAGGCACTGAAAAGGTGTATTTTCAAAGCGTAAATTTCTTAACCCTAGATTTATTCAACACCAGTTCCACTAAGAGGTGTAGCAAAGGTTTATTGAAGCAATTCAGTTAAAGTAACGTTATTACTTGTAATTTCCCGTTATTGGAGTCAAAATGACTGGCCTCTATTAGCGTATGGGTACCGGTGCAGATGCATCGATATTGCCTGTAATTTCAAATTAATGGTAATCGTGTATAATGGTTTACAGTGAAATTCAGGACCGTCATTTCCTCCTATTTGGGATTCGTCAACGCAGATGCGTAAATACTCATATACGCCAACGCGTAAAGAGTGACTATTGAGAATTTCTGGCCTATGGATAACACTCTGGTATTTAAAGCAATCAGTCATCGGTTCGAGTCCCAATGGGAACAAGATAAATCACTGAGAGGCAGTTATATCTAGCTATCGAGTCCAAAATGGAACAAAAACACGTCCTGGATTCCATTGCATTAAGCATAAAACAGATGTTTAACTGTGAAAACTTAGAAATTCAGCGCTGCATTTAGGATTTTAAATGTTATAGATAATGTTTACAGATTTAAAACTAAATTTCTTTCAGTTAAATCATAAATACGAATATAAGTGAGAGTTAATTCAAGTATAAGCGTATTACTGTCTATCTGACTGACGTATCAGAAATCTTTTAGCATGGAGCGCATATGCGGAAAACGCCTTTGAATAATTCTTGAAGACTGATCCTGAAAATTATGCACATACAACCAGTTACAAGAAGATAGCTTTTGAACGTGACATTTACCAAGATTTTTATACATAGTTTTTACACTAAGTGATAAGTTTTCTTTCGAAGGATAGCTATATAATGATCAGAAAAATGTATATTTTATGGTGCTCTCTCTCGACCAAAACTGAAACTTTAAACCTGGTTTTAGTCAAACTAGAGTTTCTCACACTGACCCGCACAGCATCATATATAAGCACTTCAAATATAAGAATAAACGAAAATCTCACTTAGAGGGAATTTAAAACAAACAAAATATACACTTCAGTATGGCTATTCTACCTCAAATAATTAAACAATTTGAACACTAGGTAAATGGAATATAGAGGAAATATGTGTGTAAAATTTCAATGAGGTAGAAAACTAAATTTTTGAGGTTTTACAACCTTGTAGAGAACGTCAAAACCACGACCGAAAGTACAGCAAGACAGGCCTGAATTTGCTTTAAACCAGTGTGGAGATCTACTGTACTGCACTCAGCATAAAAAACAACGTCTAGATTTTCAACACCAATTCAGTCTAGTCACTGCTGCTATATGGTTCAGAAAATTGGCACATCACGAAAAGCATTTACAACAAACTACAGACATTCATCAACAGCTACTGTCTACACTCACTCGATACTGAAGATTAGATGAGAAGGTCAGAAAGAATAAACAACAAGAAACTATGACTGGCTGGCTGGCTGGCTGGCAGGCAACGAACCAACCAAGAACCTATCACCCAACAAATATGCAGAGGAAGAAAGTGCAGATGGATTGAGCATACACTGAGAAGACTGATTGGGGACATCAGGTGCCAGGCATGTGAGTGGAATCCAAAGGGGAAATGACAATTTAGGTGTCGTAGATGAGGGTGAAATGAAGGAGATGGTGTGAGGAAGAAATGAAAGCTTGTGGGCAGTTGTGGTGCGAGGTGGAAAACACTGCAGAGATGATAGTTCACTGGAGACGTGCTACTGAAGTGGTATGTTCCACTAGGAACCCATGGGACAAATAATAATTAAATAAATGCGACCTTGTGGAAGTCACGTCTTTTTGCCAGTTAGATATCCGATAATTTGTACAGTTTCCTATACTTTCATAAAGCGATTTCCAAGGGGATACGAAACGTCGGAAAATAATTTTTCTACCCTATATTCGGAATTTAAAGATGTACTTTCTTTGTAATACATATATTGTATTCTGACTGTAAATGTCATATAGGTAAGAGCCAATTTAACGATCAGTAACTACTAGAGAAAACTTAAAATGTGTCTTTGTCCCAGAATCAGTTTTTAACGTGCTTGGATTCAGACATTTTTTATACAGGATATCTACCAAATGTTAAATAGTAATCAAACAAACGCAAATGTCGTACTAGTTGTATATGAATCACTATCACCATATGTTTGCCGAGGTGTCAGTAATCAGACCTAGGGTTGAGCTTCTAACTCACTGATTAGTAGTTGAATATATGGGTTAACAGATAATAGCTATATTCTGAATAAAGTACCTTACTCCAATCAGAGCTATTGGGAGATTGTCAGTGTGAATAGTTGACAGTAGTTGTAAGAATTATTTGAATAGTATCTTACAGAAAATACATTAAATATGAAACATTTGGCCGGATGGCGGAAATCAACAAAAAGCCCTGATTGAACTAGTTTTTGTGCTTGTTAAAACTCGTCAGCAACGCGAATCTTCAATTTCGACGTAACTGAGATAGTCAATAACACTCGATTTCATATCACTTTGTGTTGGGTTAGTGATCTTACGATTGAGACTGACCTCCTGTAGGACTGGATTAGATTCACTGATTGGTCATTGGAAAGTGACCAACTTCATATGGTCTGGTCTGATAACAACACAGCAAGAAGGAACGATGCAATTCGATCAGTACTTAGGACTAGTCAGGATACAGTTGGTGACCAGTCAATGTAAATGTAAAATATGTATTGTCATCACGTAATATTTGTTTACTGACGTTTTCGGTTCACTGTCTCATTGTGTTGGATAACTAGAGTCGATCGACCGGAGGCTCTGCACATACTTCCGTCCTGATTGATATCTGTCAACAAGGTGTATTTGTAAAAGTATGGAAAGTTTCCACTTCCTGCAGATGTGAACTTGTTTAACTCAGTGCAGAAGTTACAGAAACTTCTATACATCACTTTAAGTGGTGACTAACTTCTTGTCAGACTACATTACATGCCACAATCGGTAGCCATATGGAAGCTGACAAAACCTTCAAACATAATTTAGTAATCAAAATCTAGCTATTCGATTTCTTTAGCACATTTATTGTATTTATATCCATTGGTGGTGACAATATATATGCAGTCATCTGTATGAATAATGATTAGTCCATCATCTAAGCCTATAGTCCATTATCTTATTAGGTGTGCACAATATATTGCTCATCCTTGACTGAAAATCGACTGAATATAAAACTCAGGTGAAAAAAGGCATGATATTTTAGAACAGTAGAAAACAAATTAAAATGGTGGAGAATATTTGTAGCTCAGGTGGATGGTCTTGGTTGTATTATGCTGTGTGAGCTGGGTTGTTTAGTCGTGGAGCTTTCATCGCCTTGCTGGACGACATCCCCATCACTAACTTTAGTATGAAGTGAACTGTCAGTATCTCTCCTTGAGAAGTTTAGTATCCAACAACCAAAGATGACAAACCGAATATCATTTACAAAATCAGTTGAAATAACTGTAGTCAAGACTGCATTCGACAAAGTGGTCGCACCCTAAGCTTTAGTCTACATGAACACCGATTGACTGTTCAACGTCATAACATTTCATCTCTCATTTCAATGCACGTTTATAACTATGGACATCAATTCAATTTTGACAATGCAGGAATCTTGGACAGAGGAAACACTAAGAGTACCAGAGAATTCTTAGAAACTTGCATTCAAGTCAGTCAGCAATCAATAGATGTAAAGACATAGACCCAATCTATCAACGAATAAGGTCAGAGGTCAAGCAGAGGAACAGTCTACAGGAAAATTTATGCAGTCAATGACACAACAATCAAAGGAAACAACCAATCATGAACCATTTGGTCAGGGCAAGCTACTAAACTGTATCACTCTTGGCGATACATTGACAGTTCACTTCATACTGAAGTTAGTGCTGATGATGTCATCTAGCAAAATGATGAAAGCTTCATGATTAAACGACCCAGCTCAGAGAAAACAATGCAACCAGTAAAACAAATTATTGTTATTCACTAACTGGTTGATCATTTTTATCGTCTTAACTCTGTTGTTTACAGGATTTTTGTCAAGTTTCTACATGAGTATGAGAAATAACAAATTAGAGTGTACGATGAGAAAATTCTTTCCACAAAGCAATAGAAAGATGTACCTTAACTTGTCTGAATAGCGTAATGTAACAGACTAGTAGATTTGGAACAATATGATCATAGATTTATAAGGAAAGACAAGTGGTTTTAAAAAGTAATCGATAGAAACTAAATGGTCAGTTTGTCAGTTTAAAGGTAAAATGATAGATGAAAAGGGAATACATGACACTAACCACAGTCGATTTTAAGGTAAGTTACTAAGAGTGGTCTAAAGTACTTGCAAATTGTTTTTCAATGCATAAAAGCTATTTAAACTCCTTTATAGTTAGGGCTTTAAAATACGTAAGTATATATCCCCTAATCGCTTTGTAATCAGGTTGAAAAGGAACATACAGGTCAACCTTGTGACTTCTTTCCATGGTATGTTTAACTAAAGACAAAGTTGGAGAAATGTTGTCTAGGTCAGTGG